CTACACTTGAATTAACCAAATGCTTTTGTTCGGATTCTTCAATTTTACAAAAACTTGCAATTGAGTTGTTGCATGGCTACTGTCACTTTCTTAGGTGAATTAGATTAATAATCTGGATAAAAAGACTTTTGCCAATTCAGGACAGCAGATTTTTATTATTAAAAAAAAAATACATTAGTTTAAGATTTTAGTTGCTAATCTTTTAATTTCCTTTTAAAAATCTGATTTTGGTTAAAGCATGTTTATAACACAACCTGAACTTTTTTTCCTGCTAAGTAAAATCACCAATGTTTATTTTCCATATTTTGTTTTTATGAACCTTGTCATCAAGATAACAACTAACTAACATGTAAAGGAAAATACTGAAGAAGGTGACTTGAAATATTGTCAACTGGTATACAAGAAGAAAATGGCAGAATAAATGCACTTGTTTCCGTGGTTCTTGCCTTGTTGCATTTTCATTACTGATGAATTGTAAAGAATTTGATTATTTGACGTGGACTTATCCCATCTGTCTTATTTTGCCTTCCTAAAATTTTAACTCATACTTTATGTATTACATTTTTTTCTGGTATCAACAGTTTCTTCTACCTTTTTCTAATGGTGATAAATTATAAGCATTTTGAAGAAACCTAGCTTATACTTAAATATATTCAGTGTATAAAATGTATTTGAACTAAGTTTTGCCAGAACCTTTTGTATTAGAATATTTTCATAAGGAAATTTGCTCATTGAGGTATGCCAGTGAAGTATTACCAATGTCTTAATAGGCTAATGTTTTAACAACATACTGTAGTGTCCATGCTACTCAGCATTGTTCTTACCCTTTTTCATACTCCTGTCTTTCATCACCAGAATCTGGGATTGCAGATGCCCACTCTGGTTGGCCTAGGGCAATGAAGAATTACAGCTGTCCTGGAAATGCACAGAAGTGTCACCAAAGGTAAGTGCCTTTTGAGAAAAGAAATTTCAAAAGAAATTCTTGCTGCTCTGCATCTATATTAAAGGTATGGAGGTTGTTGCTTACATGCGTACTTCTAGAATGAAAATCAGCATGGATGCTTGGGAGAGCCCAAGCTAATCAAACCTGCAGACTCGAACACTGGGAGGCAAGTGTCTGTGGACAAAACTAGCCAGACTCCAACATGGATGGCCAGTGAACACTAGTTAGTAAAATGGCCTAACTGAATAGCTACTCTAGTCCTTCTTTTGTGTTAATTATAGAGGCATTTATTATTTTAGATATAACTATAGAATTGTTTTGATTCTGCCTGTGTGTTTGAGCTAACAAGTCCTCTCAGATCCTTAGGCTGTGGAGAGTGCAGCATATTGCCATTTAAAAGGACTTTCAAAAGTTAGCTTCTGTGCAGTTGGGCATAGTTACCTGCATCTTGGCTCTGTGTACATAAGCAGTGGCTCTGTTTGGAAGATATCTGAGATCCTCTCCTCCTGCTGTTATCAGTATTGGCAGTGTATTTAAATCTCTGGAAGGAGAACACTCCTTCCAGCTCCCTGGATACCGGCCTACTACATCTGCTTTTCTTAGAAAATATGTGACTTTTAAAGGATTCTCAAGTTTCAGATCTCTTGGATTTTTAATTACAAACTAATTTAATAAACAGCAGGATTAAAAAGCATTAAAAGTTCTCTAAACAGTTTCTCATTTTATTTTCCAAAACATTTCTGACATGCTTTTTTGCCAAAAAGTCTAATTTGGCACCACAAGATATGCTGCCTTCCCAAACTCAGTCAAGAAATATTTTCACTATGCTTGAGATGATCATACAGCTGATATAAAAATTTTCTGACAATGTTCGAATTAAAACTTCAAAGGAGGCCTGAATGCATTTTTAAACTACTTGTATGGAGAATTTAACTGGAAAAGAGGCTGCATCATTTAAAGAAAAAAAGTTTCAGTTTAAGCAAAGATGGAATTAAAACGTAGAGGCTTGTATTACAGATATATAACAATATTGATAAAGATTGTATTCGGATTATTTTTTATATAACGGAAGATTGGAGGCAAGCTGATGAGTATACAAGGATGTTTCTGTGATATTGAGTATGCCCACTTAGGTGAGCAAATTTCTGCTCAGTTCTTGGATTCCCTTTTTTTCCTCACTACTTTTTCCTGACTCCATACAAAATAGCCCTCCCTATGAGATTAGTAATTGTTCTGAAGGAAAAGGTTTTCCTTTCCTTAATGCATGTAAGTAGAGAAGTTTGAGAAAGAGTAGGAAATCAGGATTTCACGGAGTGCTTTCTTGCCAAGCCATCTGGAATAAAATCTATTTCTTTGTTCCTTAATTACACAAATGCATGATTGCAAAATTGGACTGTCAGCTGGCAAGCTTCCTTAGGCCTGTGATGTGATATTCTTAGCCTTCTATGGTTCCCAGGAGTGAAGCTGCTCTTTAATGGCTTTAGAGCCCTCAGAAGTTTCATGCTTAAGCCATGTGGCAAAATGCTGTATATTGTAATGAATGGTTGTGGAAAGAAAAGGAATATTGTCTTCCTGTCTGGAACTTGATTGCCTTTATCTAGAGGATGATTATGAAAGAGATATTTCAGAAAAGAAAATCTTCGTAACTAATAAACTTTTCTTCAGCTCTGTGTGAATGCTGTCCTACAGCTATACTGCTATACTTAATTGTCAGATGTAAACCAAAATAGTTTAAAATAGATGTTAAAAAAAATTTCTTTAGTAGTATGCAAGGAAATAATTGTGTTCACACTTGTATCTTTCATTTTTAGCTATTTGTGAATACATTCAAAGATTACATCTCTAAGTTTAATAGATATTTATACAATTTAGGTTAATGTAGTAGCATTACTGAGACATTAAATGACATAGGATGAAAAGTTTCCTCTAGCTGAAAGCACAGAGGAATGCAGACAAGGAGTCCTCCTATTGTTCACAGTCAAGATGTTCAGATACCTTGCTTTGGCAATTTGTTTCAATTTCATTCTGTTCATCAGAGTTTCAGCAAGCATAGTATTTTTGTGTAATTTACTTTATCATCTAAACAATTCTTTTCTATAGGGTATCCAGAAAACTAAACTACGCTGATGGCAAAGACCAAAATCCTAGCAATCCCTTGGACAACTTCCTGGTCAAAACTCACCAAGGAGCATTCACGGACTGCTACACAGAAAACATTTTTTTATAAAGTTTGATTTTTGTTTTGTTTTTCTTTCTTCTTCCAAGAATCAAGGATGTATTATTTGTATGTAATATACAATTAGTCCTGATTTATACTTTCCTGTAATATAAATATTCAGGAACTGATTCATCCCTTCTGACAGGGCACTTACTCCTTTGGCAATCAGGTATTGCAGGGAATCAGGGTTTCTTTCTATAACAAAGTTTAAATTATGTATTTAGTAGTGTTTATAATAACAAAATGTGATCTGTATTACTTTTTATCTGCTGATAAGCTTTGATTCTTAACATATTACTAATAAGATAAGCAATAAGCTCTTTCTGCTGAATTCCTGCCTATTCATGCTTTACAGATGTATCAGTACTAAATGAATGAAAAAATCTAAACTGGGCTAGATGATCCAAATGCAGTATTATACGCTATGACTTGTAATATGCCTGCTATATAATTTTAATGTTAAATTTTCTAAGTAGCTCACCAAAGTTGATTGTTCAGTAAAATTTTATAATTTTTAGTGGATTTGATAGTTATATCCTGTATTCTGACAAAATTCTACCTGACACAATATATATTCTAAATAAAAAACTATTCTGAACAAATACCTGCTTTCAACATTTTATTTCAGGTGTGTGAATTCTCAGGAGGAGTTTGTATACCTACAGCAAATACATGAGAATGATGTGGCAGGGTCCCACAGGTTTTCATTGCTGTGTTCTTTCTTGGCAAGGAGATTGTTTTAGTGGTAAGTGTCAGGTCAAATACGCTCTGTTTTATTGGCATTGCCCCTTGTCAGCTTTCTGAGCTCCAGAGAAGGAAAAAATGGTTTTCCTTTGGCTTTACTTCATTTCTGGGCACACAGGAGTTTTTTATGTTATTTTAGCTCTTAAAACCAAGATCTTGTCTTCAGTTTTGTTCTTGAATGGAACAAGAAGCCAGCTTCAGTGAGGTTTACTCTCTGATGAGACAAGAACTTCTGCAATATACACACACATTCTATCCCTCATCATTTGTATATTGTTTCCTTCAACAACAGCAACAAAATATTGTCTTTTAGAAACGCTTTTGTGGTTTATTTTTCTTCCTGTTCCAGACATGGATGAACTGTAGGGAATATGCTTTATTGAACTACCTTCCCCTTGGATTTGAGGTAATTATTTCCCAGTATTTCTTGATACACCAGTACTGAGAGATTACATAACTCCATTAATGTTTTCTGTTCTAAAGTAACTTAAAGGTAAACTGGAGTTGGGTTTTGGACATGTTATGACTCTAGATATGATTTCCGCACAGCAACCTGAATGCAGGCTTACCCAGGTAGGAAGGTAAGTTTATTTAAGCAACAGAGTAATAGTTCATTGTCTCCATGAAAATTACTTTGAAAGAATTTTAAGAGGCAGTTCTTGAAAAACCTTGAAGTGTTGGAAGATAAGCTCATCCCAGTGCCACCTTTTTGGTGCTAGCAGTAGCAAAAAATGGGAGAAAGTTACACAATAATTTTTAGAGTTTGATCCTCCAACATCCATTTGAATCAGAAGACTCTTAAAAGTATGATATAACCAAAAGCCTGTGTCGTTTTTCCTAACAACACTGTTTAAACAGATGCATCTGCAGTGATTGTCAGATGCTATAATGGCTACTGGAGTATACCTGTCCTAGACTTACAAAGATTTCGTGGTTCTACTTGATCTCTCTTCTGGTTTGAGCTCCATTCTTCCCTTCCAAACACTTTTGCTTCTTCCACCATATTTCCTCTTGTTTATTCTTTCTTCACTGTTCCATTGAACTGATACTTGAATGCTAAGCTTACCGTTAACAAAAACAGCTTCACACTGCTTCCCTCTGCTACAAAATTTTTGTAAAGAACACTGGAAAAACAGACTAGGTTACTGAGATAGTATAAACCTAGACCTAACATGTCCTTTTCTTATTTTGTTGTAATTAGTTGAAACTTTCTTTATACATAAACAATTTAACCAATATATGATAGTTTATGTAGGTCTTCCTCTAATGGCTTGAAGATGGAGCAATATTGAACATGCTCTTTCATGTAAGAATTCAGTAGTCATTTGAAAATTATCCCAAAAAGTCATTAAAAAAAAAAAGCTCATTCAGTTGCTTATTTAAGCAGACAGAGGGTAAAGAGCTGGAGCAATAAAGCTAAATCTGGACTGTGGCAGCATTATAAGTGCCTTGGAAACAGTTGATAGGCCATTAAAGATGATCCTGAAGAGTCTGTGAGAGCAGCAGTGAATAATTTAATGGAAGCAGTGATTAAATGTGGAAAGGAAGTATGTATTGAAGGAGAATATTTACAAAAGTGCCCTGCTCTTTTAGCAACCTATGTTGCAAGGGAAAGCAGCTGCTGAAAATTGGCAGAAATAAATAGCTGGACTAAACAATGAAGACTAAGAACACAGATGAAACTAGATGTACCTAAATCCCACAGAGTGGACTTACTGTTACAAGTACACTCAACGAGAGAAGTGTGTACTTCGTTTCCATTAAATTAATGATCAGGCTGAAATGACAGGTTGAATTTAGGTAACTCATAGAAGTTCTTTGACTTTGGAATTTTTAGAGGAAATGCATAATCAAGAGTGCAAATGCTGTGAGAAAATTGGGAAATAGCAACTCTTGTACAAAGTGTACACAAATTGTATTAAATGAAAATACAGCATCCCTTGTTTCATGTGTATGTTGGAAAATAGTAACAGACTCTTGGGCCTGTGCTTGAGAGATTGTTTAAGAAAGCTTTCTCTTTTAATCATCTCAGAGCGCTGAGTATTGCATCTGATTGGTGCCAGCTAAATTGAAATATTTTATATAAATATTTTACATATTAATGCTATTCAAACAATTTTGATATGCGAGTCTAAGCAAGAGTATGTTGATCTGTATTTTATTATTATGTATATTATTTTGTTCCTACTATGGAACAAAGTATAATTCCTTCCGATCTAATCAAATTAAGTTAGTACTTCATGCGCTGATATGTTGGTCTTTGGATCTTTGGCTTTGGATCTGCCTTCCTCCTTTCCCCCCTTAGGATCATTGTTTAATATGGTTCTCCATAAAAGTGTTTTTTTACCGATTCTTCAACAGTATTTATTTTTGCTTATCCAATGGTAGTTGGTCTAAGACCGTGATAACACAGTCACTTTAATTCCAAGTCTGCCTTGTTTCTGGGGTGTAATAGCCAAACATATATTGACTTGATTTCTCCACACAAAAGCAAGTGCTAGCGCAAGACAGGCAGTGACTCTGGGCAGCTTTGGCTGCAGGGGTTGGCCCCTTCCTTTTGGTCCAGCATAGAAGTTAAGGCATGTGAAGAGGCTCATTAACTATAAGCTAAACTAAACATGAACCAAGCGGTCAAAGAACTTTCTTTTACATTGATTTTTTTTCTTCATAAACTTGTCCCATCTCTGGACATGTCCATCCACTTCTGCTTTTAGAAGAGGTGTTGGCTCTTTGTAAATATGGGCTTTTTGTTTGTTTTGGTTTTTGTAACTGCTTTCAGGGCTATCTCCTTCAGGACCTGAAACACTTGCAGGGCTCTGTTGTGCTTGAGAGTTTCAAGCTCCTTGACACTGTGCTCTGTGTGGATTTTAAAGGCACTAATGTCCTTTTTTTGAGAAGGCAGAACTGTCTGACACCTAGAGGTAGGCATATTACATCAATATGCCTTGCTGTTTCCTGCTATTACTACTTATTGACTCCCAGAATATAAAAATAAATCCCCACTCTATAAAAGCTTACCGTCTGATGAGTTTAAAGTCTTAAGATGAATGTGCACACAGTATGTGAACTATTTGGGGAAATAAAAAGCTCTTTCTACTTTTGTAAAATAGTTGGTAACAGTGGCAATGTAAAACCCAATAGGAATTTAAACATCACATAGAATATTAGAACGCAAAAATTCTCCCTAGGAGATTTATTGTTACAGATCATCTGCCAATATCTTTGTGAACTCTTGAATACAGCTGGATACAACATTACATTAGTAGAGTTGAGATTTGAGATGTATTCTGGTATTGCTCACAGAAGGAAATTAAAGTTATACAAGGATTTTGTTAAATCTTGAGATGTACAATTACTACTTTAAACAAGCTGTTAAATTATTCTCCAATTAGCTTTAGATATATTGTGTTATTACCATAGACCAGTCACAGTGGGGAAAGTACACAATGTTGAACAGCAGATCAGTTTTTAATTGGGAAAACAACTAAATCATTAAGTGTGCAAGTATGAAACACAATTTCCTTCCAAAAGTACTGTTAAAACCTTTATAGAAGAATAGTTATACCCTGCTAGAGCTCTACAGACAATTGAGTGGGTCTTTTGGGACTGTTTGAAAGTTGATGGTTGTTTTAAACAAATGATTAGTTTTTACTGGAATCAATACCATGTGAATGCTGAGATACCAGCTTCTGCAACTCCCTTTCAAAATGTCTTCAGAAGGGCAGGTCCTTCAAAGTGGCAGTCTGGATCTTACTTCTTGCTTAGTCCATAAATGTACTTGGAAGGCACTTTGGAACAGTTAACTTACCCATTTTATACCATTGTTTGGTATGTCAGTTTGCCAGGATATTTTCTCTAATCATTCACTGTTCCTCCAGAATGAACAAACAGATCTCACTTTATGATTATGTATTTGGTTCGTGAAGCCACTTCAAATGTTCTCTCCTTTTGTAGTATGAATCAAACCCATTAATCTGATGGGATCATCATGAATGGCTTCTATGTTTGCCGTATTTTCAGCAGCCAGCTGCTCACTGTTGAGGTAAATGCTAACTTTGGAAGCTATCATGGTGGGGTTAGACGATCTTTCTTCTTCATCCTCATCTAATGAAGGGTTTGTCTTTCTCCGTGGTTTTCTGCGTTTTCCCTTAATGCTGTGATCAAGTGAGGCATAACACATCTGATTGGCAGACTCCACCTAGAAGGAAATTCACTGTATATTTAACATTCAGTAGTTACACTTGCTTTAAAATTATGTCTAAGACATTGGCTATGTCTACAGTGGAATCATAATAGTGGCTGAAGTTTACCCAAACTAGCTGTAAATGAACTCATTAAGAGTATGAATGATTAAGCTGTGGCAGCACAGAAAACAGACCAACATACCCTAATGGTAAATGATTCATGTTATTAGGATAGTGGCAGTAAGGAAAAATTCATCAAGGTGTTATTGGAAAGATTCTCTATGGGAATGAGGGTAGCTTATATAATCAGTCCAAGTTCTCTGGGATGCAGGACATTATTTGACCTGTGTTTCTTCCCACTTTTTTTTTTTAATTTGAATCCAGTTATTAACAATATTTTTCACAGGCTTTGTCTGTGCAGAAAACCAACGATGGGGGATTCTTGTCTGTATATATACAGTCTCATTTCCAGTGCAAAATGTGTGCTTTGTATGTCTTTCCCCTGCCTCTCTCTGTGTTTTTCAAGCCAAATTGTCAAGCACTTTCAACATTGGAATTTTCATAAGTTTTTCTGTTTCTGTGAAGTTAATGAAAACAAATGTCTAGATTAAAAAAAAAAAAAGAAAAGGATATTTCTACCCCCTGGAAGTATCCTGAGAGAGGCTGCAAATTGGTCCTTGTGAAATACTTGGAAATCAACTCAGGAAATTGATGCTAGGAATTCTTTAATTACAGACAAATTGCAGTTGAAGCTTGCATGCTTTTAGGCATCCAAGTATCTCAACAAAATACAAATCAATAGAAAAACAGTTGTCTTTCATTTGTTAAGGCATATAGATTTTGTGCTGGGCAGATTAGAGTCAGTCAAACTCATGATTCTCATGTGATGCAGCTTGTGTTTTCACTTGGTTGATGTCCAAAATAAATAAAAGTAATTCTTTACATAAGCCATGGCAGTAGACGCAGGCTTAATTCAGCCTGATCTGCATGCCTGTGACTGAGCTTTATCATGCCATATGGATGGAAATGAGCTGTCTATAATTGTCCTGCTCCCTCATTAATGACCCAGATTGAACAAAGGGTCAAGTCTGTGCTTAAATTCCCTGATGAACTGAGACATGCATGGTAGTTTTTGTGATGAGCAGTGTGAAGATTTGTGTTATATATTGTCATGGGATAAACACAAAAACTCTGAGACAGACCACATTACCCTAAGTCAGAAATCCACAATTAAAATTAAAGATACCTGTAGTTGGTTAACTGGCCTTTGAGGCTGGGACTTCATCTGCTCGTAACAACATTCCTCTATAATTTATCAAAGTAGAAAAATGTTTTAGTTAAGACACACTACTGAGTCTTAAAAGATCAGATCAACAGATCCTCCCTGTTCCAGAACTAACTCCCCCTCCCAGTTTACTTTGGTAGAAGTTTGCTTTGTTTTGAAATCGCACACAGATCTCTTCCTCTATTTATATAGAGAGGCAAATAGCTAAGAAATTTAGACACACGTACTGTGAAAATGAAAATCATCTTCTGTTCATACGGATGGGAAGTTTCTCATTATTCACTAAGTGGGCATCCTTTTAGACTGCTAGGAGGACATCTTGCCATTAGGGGGTAACCACATACTGACGTATTTTTCAGCATAGGCAATCGTTGCTTTGGCTGAGAAAGAGGCTGAGTTGCAGCAGCTGGTGATTAAATTCTATTCCTGACTCTACTTTCGGTTTTCTGTAAATTTGGTGCAAGTTATTTTCTCACCTTAGCCATCAGTAAAACAGATTACTGCCTTACTGTTTTCAGGCTTTTGCAGTGTCAATGCATTTGAGTGTTGGCTTAGTTAAATTTATGCAAACCCTATATGAAAAAGTTGGGTTTGTTTTTTTTCCACGCAGTTCAAGTACTTTAGTTCCATTTTGCTTAACTCCAAATAAGGCTAGCAAAGAAGTTGTGTTCATGTTACTTAAATACTGCTTTAACACCATAAGACTTCAAGAGAGAGACTCTCAGCATATCTAGTTCTAGCTGCAGTTATATGACGTTACTGCCTTTAAGGTAGTATCTCTCTGCTAAGTATTATTAACTTCAGCCCAGTAAAGCAGATAAAAGCTATGCCTGCCCACCATTCAGCCACTGGGCTTGTTTAAGCGTATTTGTCAATGTCGCCAATGATCTGTGGATAGCCACAGCAGAGAACTGGTATGTGTTTGTTTTTGCCAGCTTCTGTGGGAGCATTGACTTTGGGCAGTGAGTAATATGTGTCTTAGATTGCTTTAACATGCATGGGTCAAGCTGTTATTTCAATTGGTGCAGCTTTACATGTAGAAAAGCTCATGTTATTGAGATATTTGGCTGAACAGGACCATTTGGACTGTAAAAAATCAAATTCAGTATGAGATTTGGCCTTACAAATAGTAGTGCAGTATAATGGTTTGCAGTTCTATCCCAAGTAGGTATTAATACAGCAATTGAAAAGGGGTAGATTCTCAAGCTTGCTATTGAGAAACACAGAAGTGTTGGTCAGTAAGCTTTTAACCACACATTTATTATAGCCTCTGAACAGACACATGTTCTTAAAGTGAAGCTTACCTAAAATATCTTGATTGAGATTGCCATAAACTGGGTCATCTTCTGTGTAATAGTTATCATAGCTAGAAGGGGAATGGAAAAATACTTCTAATTCACAGAATATGCTTTATTTAGGACACCACTATTCTACTCTAAACATTTTACACACATATAGCAATAGCAGATTGTATGTGATCTAAAAAACAAGACCAAAAATAACGGGGGTGTGTGGAAATACCAGCTTTGCAGAAGGCGAAGAAATGGCAATGGCCGAATTCTTGTCCTGGTTTCGGCTGGGATAGAGTTAATTTTCTTCCTAGTAGCTGGTACAGTGCTGTGGTTTGGATTTAGCATGAAAATAATGTTGATAACACACCGATGTTTTAGTTGTTGCTAAGCAGTGCTTACTCTAGTCAAGGACTTTTCAGTCTCTTATGCCCTGCCAGCGAGAAGCTGGGAGGGGGCACAGCCAGGACAGCTGACCCAAACTGGCCACAGGGATATTCCATACCATGTGACGTCATGCTCAGTATAGAAACTGGGGGGAGTTGGCTGGGGAGGTGGTGACCGCTGCGCGGGAACTGGCTGGACATCGGTTGGCAGGTGGTGAGCAATTGTATTGTGCACCACTTATTTTGTGTATTCTTTTATCATTACTATTATTATTATTATTATTATTATTTTCCCTTCCTTTTCTGTCCTATTAAACTGTCTTTATCTCAACCCACAAATTTTACTTTTTTTTTTCCCCAATTCTCTCCCCCATCCCACTGGTGGGGCGGGGAGTGAGCAAACAGCTGTGTGGTGTTCAGCTGCCTGCCGGGTTAAACCACAACAATTATAGAATCATAGAATAGTTTGGGTTGGAAGGGACCTCTGAAGGTCATCTAGTCCAATCCCCTGCCGTGGGCTGGGACATCTTCAACTAGATCAGGTTGCTCAGAGCCCCGTCCAACCTGACCTTGAATGTTTCCAGGGGTGGGGCATCCACCACCTCTCTGGGCAACCTCTTCCAGTGTTTCACCACCCTCAGCATAAAAAAATTTCTTCCTTATATCTAGTTCTGAAGAGAAATTTGTTATCTAGCCAAGAATTGAGCACTTCTTTTCTGTAACTTCATTAAGTATAAAGCTAATCTCAAGACTACTAAGCTACTGTTCGACATAGTTCTAGAAACATTAATGATCACTGAAAGGAACCCAGTTCATGTCCTCTGAGACCGCTTTGCAATAAAAACCAAAGCACTAAATGAGTCTCTTGGGGAGGTGTCCTTAAAAAGTCCACTCTTGATTCAACTAAAATACTTATGTCAAAACAACTAGAGAATACCAAAGCAAAATTCAGCTTTGGATATTTAATGGTATTTTGTGTTTCATTATCTGGTGTTTCTTGAAAATGTTTTTAAGCATGTTTGTAAAGATGGGAGTTGTTAGTGGGAAGCACTGTGTAACCTTGTTCCTATTGCATCCCTATACTGTGCGTCGTCAAGGGAATGAAGTAAGGCAGTCTAACACCACTTTTTCAGTGGTATTTTTCAACTGAACAGGCAGTAATAGACAAACAGATACTTCCCAACTTCAAATAAATTTGTAATTGAGGATTGGTTTTGGGGAACAGGTGAAGGCTTTTGTATTTTTATTTCGAGGGCTTTTTATATTTGGGTTGAGATGAGACTCCTTCCATCTGTGTTTTCTGAAGTGTTTTGTGGGTTTTTTTAATACAGAATCAGAGAAACAGACTTGTAACAGATCATGAGCTATCCAGCACCTGTAAACAAGCTCTGTTTTATTGCTTTTGAATGCCATGTGTAAAAGAAGGGTATGAAATGTAAATACATATAAACTATTGCTCCACAAGTATTAAATATCAGACTATAATTTATCATTGTTTTCTGAGAGTTCTTTTTAATTATTATAGATTTATTGAGTTTGAGTGATAGTAAATAGTGTGTTAGCTCAGTATCTTGCACTTCCTTCAGTATATAAAATTGTCATATTAGCATGCAATTATTTCATTGTTGATAAAATATGATGACTGGAGTACATCTCTTCCATGTGAATATTTTTTTCCTGTTTTCTTTGGAAAACTTTTTTTCCATAACCAACCTGCTCCCCGACATTTCCAGGCAGGCTGCATGAGATATTGGATTTTCCTCTATGCCATCCCTCCAAAGCCATCTGTTATTATTTATTGCTTATTTCACCCTTGTCAGAAAGAAACTTTTTTTATCCAACTTACCTTGGACTGTTGTCTTCATAGTCTTTATACTTTTTAGCTGGAAAATTTGTTAAAAAAAAAATAAAGTGAAGAGAAAATGAAACGTGCTATTTTAGAACACTTCAGATAATTGTCTTAACTGACATGCTTTTGATTTCATTGTAGAGAGTAAAACTGAAAGCTCTTGGCTCTCGGGACCTTCATTTGTCCCACTGCTTTTCTCAAATACTTTTGACTAATACAAGAAATGACTCTGTGCTGTGGCTTCAAAGTCTATGTTAGTTTACAAGACCCCAAAAATGTGTTGTAACACATGCGATTAATTCCTTGTTTCCTCCTCCTTCAGCTTCTACCTCATCTTTTTCTCTGCCTAGGGAGGTGCATCATGTGCTTGTATTACAAGGTGAAGGGTTAATTTATTTCACTACTTCTGTTGCTTGTTCCTCTGAAAGAGAGAGATCCTGTGATCCACACAGATGAAGAAACTGAAGCAGAGAGGCAATGGCTACAAAGAGGTTTATTGCTAGAGCCTGATTAATAACTCAGGAGTGCCTGACTTTCTATCCTCTGCTCCAGGACTCCAGAACTTACCATGGTAAGCTCCAATTCCATGAACAGTGCAGCATGAGCCAATCTGACCAAAACTGTGCTCAAGGTTAGTTTTGCAAATGACTGTGATTTTTCATCATAGAAATATCAGCCTAGTAGCACTAAAAGACAAAATAAACCAAAAAGGCACCCCCCCATCCCGCAACACTCCAGCAGCTCTTTTAATATCCTGTAGTAATCTAATTCTCTTATACTCGGCGAGTTCAGTTTATAAGCATAGGCCTTCTGTTTATGTAGATTATGTATGTATGTGTGTTTAACGTGGTAGAATCCACCACTGTTTGCTTGCCCACCCATATGCGTATAGCACAGCTGCGGTTTTCCCTGCGTAAAGGCCATTTTCCACTGAATGGGAGTGGTGAGGATTGTACAACTTAATAACCATAGAATTGTATGCATAAGAGAGGTTGCACTGGCATAATGAATTCTGTTTAAAAAGTCATAGTTACTTTTAACCAAAACCAGAGTATGACTGTAGTCGCCTTCTAACAAAAATTTAAAAAATCAGTTCCTTATCGTGAGTGACACATTGGTTTAAGAGCTACATTAGGATCCCATGATGAAAAGCAATTAGAACTTTTTTCAAAATAAACTGATTAAGCATAAAATGCGTATGAAATCTGAAATTCAAATAAGCATTCAGGAATTTTGGGAGGAGAAAATTTTCTCAAATGTATTTTGTATTACTGCAGCTACTTAAAATAATTTTTAAATTAAAGTACAAATGATAACCCGTTACATGAAAAGCACACTTAAAAAAAGGAAATTACAGAAATTAAAAATATACTTTAAAAATAAAAATTTAGCCAGAACTAAATTCTTCACCTTGTACGTATTCTGTTGGTTTGTCTTCAGGGAATGGATTTAGGTAGTTGATTTTAGCAGTGGATTGGGCAGCTAGCAATCATTCCGTAATCATACCTGACTCCCCTAAAAAATTTTAAAAGTTACATCCTCTCAACTAGAATCATTCTTGCCAAAAGATAACTTTAAGATTCAAAAGAGTGAATTTGTTGGCTTGAAATCTCTCAGCAGTGATGGCTTTCTCTACAGACACTTTAAACACTCAAACTCCATTCCTTACAGAGAGACATTACTTACCTTGCTTGTTTTTCACATAGTGTGAAATATTTAGTATCAATGAAACAACCAGAGCCAAACTCAGAAAGGCCAAAACTCCCCAGACAGAAAAATGGCACTCCATTTCTGTAACTGAAAGAAAATAATTTATAGTTTGTGTTGTCTAACAGTTTTACTGTATTCTTCATGGTTGGTTGATTTTTGCTTTCTGTAATTCAGGCTGCTATTTTGTTGTTTACTCTGTGACAGCCATTGCTATACAAGCTAAATAATTAATATCAAAACCAGATGCTAAATAGTAAGAAAGCAACATCAATAAACTGTTAGCAGAACTACTGTTTCATAGCAATTCAGCCAAAGGTTGGGCTATTGGTTTGCCTGTAAAATGCAGTAAAAATCAGAAATCGCTAAAGAAAAAAGTCCTTTTAGTGAATACCTTTGAAATTATTTTTGTAATTGTCTTTAACTTACTATTTGCAGTAAATTTTAGGCTAAATTTTAGAGCTCATGAATGTAGTTCTGAAGATGAATTCAATCAAAACAACTTCACTGGAAATGTCTCTGAATAATATCTAACACCATCAGGTTATAACTCCCTGCAAAAAATTTCAAAGGTTGGTTATGTGTTTTCTTGCATCTCCTATTAAAATGACTTACTTTACTCATATCCTCGCTCTCCTTCCTGAGAAAGCAGAGGATGTAGTGGCAAAGGATGAGCAGTAGCTGGGAACCGGTGAAGCCCCCAGAACTACTGCAGAGAAAAACCCAAACAGCTCCTGAAGAATCACTTGGTAAAACATGGGTCAACTTAATTGAACAAAGCCTCCCTTTGCACTGGACTTGCCTCTCCTTGGACTCCTATTAGAAACACAGGAAGGAACCCACACACACCAAATGTATTTTGTCATTTGATTAATTCTTCAGTTAACCTAGCTCATACAGATTTTCCATCACAAACCATGCTGAAGAAAATAGCCTATCTGTGACAGTCTACTGGCCAAAATGACCAGCGTTGCTGTAAATGGCCTGTGAAACCCTTCCTTGACAGAGGAAATGCAAAGCCAAATACATGAGTGAAATGAGCTTGAATCTGGATTTTTCACTTTCCCCAGAGGCATGTTTCATGTTCTTCTAGATTTGGAGGTTTGAAATAAAACCTCATCCAAAAAACTAATGAACTCTACTAATACCACACAAAAAAGTCTAGCCGGAGCAGAGCAGTCAAGGGGAGAGATTGGACGATACTGCCAGAGTGAGATTCGAGCACGTCTATAATGCTCTTGTTTGGTTTTGACGTAGCTGGATTCCTTCAGGAGGCTGACATTTTGTTTGCTTCTTGAAGGAAAGCTGAGGTAAAGGAGTACAGGAATAACATGGGAATGTTATTCCCCAGCCAGGGGTTGTGGGGGGAAATGCATTTGCTCCTGCTGAGGAGACAGAGTTTTGTTCCTTGGCTGACCAGCTCTAGCTCGCCTTAGGAACTGCCCCTTACAGGTTTTGTTCCTTAATTATGCTAATTATTTCAAAAGCTCTTTTAGTTTTGTTTTATTCCAAGCCACAGATGTGTTTTTGATGGTGAAACAAGATAAGATAATCCTTGGTAGTAAAAAAATCACAAATCACATGGGCTTCTATGATGCAGGTTTCCTTCCTGATCAGAACTCTTTTAAAAGGAACAAAACAGAACAAATAAGCTGTAACTTTCTGACAGACTTGTAGCTGGTTTTTGCACATGGTACTTCCAGTGGCCATTTATCCTTCCTTTTAAACTAAACATCCAATTTCCATTCGTTTCTTTTCTCCTACCTGAGTTCCCCCAAAGGTGTTTGAGGGTTCTCCACCACTGCAATACTGCTTTCCATATTAAGGCGCACTTTTTTGCAATGAGATACAGACATTCATGATGAGAGACAACACCCCCATGAAGCAGCTATGTATTGTTCCAGTTTTTCAGAGTAGGAATTAAAAGAAAGGGAGATCTCACCTTGAGAAGATGTTATCAGGCCACATCAAGAACCACCAGTGTTTGGAACCTGGTTACTCTACAATTAGTCACTCAACAACATTTGCATCCTATGCAACCTGTCCAAAACTACAAGAAGTTTATGTCAAGGTCAAGAACTTTTAGGTATCAATGTAGTGCCTGAATAATAAGAGTCATCCTTCCTCCTTCTCCTGTCCTTTTATCTTTTCTGAAGTGATTCCTTTCCGTTTTTCTTATGTTCATTTCATATTTCTTTTCCTACAAATTTTTTTTTTTTTTAGGGAGCAAAAGCAGCGTTGTGGCCTAAGAGAAGGGAAGCACACATAACTCTGATAGGAACTACAGCCCTGTGATTCATTAGAATAAAAGAAGTGAGTAGATACCTGAAGTACAGCTGGAGCCTAAGTTTGTACCTCTTTCTTGATACCGAATGCTCTCATTTATCTTTCTGATTCAGGAATCCTATTTTTCCCTGGTGTTTCCAGAGTAGGAGGAGAACTCTTATTTTCAAATTGAATATTTTCAGCCCTTAAGTGAAGTGGAGGAGGTAACCAAATTTTTTATGACAATTATTTTTTTCGTATTTCAGCTTCTGATTTAAATTGGAAAATAATAAAGGTTGGAAAAAGGTTGTTTCCCTTTTCAGTTTCAAGTTTAACTTCTATGGTATTTGAGCAATCCCACTTCTCTAGGACTTCAAAAATATTCTAGCAAAACAAAAGGCATGAAACTTGAGTTTCTAATAAAATGTACCAATGTCTTAAACCTCACAATCTATATCTCTCTCTTAAAAATGGTTTAGAAAACTGCATTGGTGTGAGGAAATTAAGGAAACAACATTTAAATTTATTCCTATCTGAACACTACTTAGTTTATTTTAAAATTTATTTTCCACAACTCTGACTTAAACATCTACTTGTATTTCAGTAGAATGTATACAAACATACATGACTTCAGTATCTTATTTTTTAATATTTTTGTCTTTGCAATACAAGCTATTTGTTTGTCAGACAACACTACTTATATTTCAGAAACAGCAGTTTTCATTTACCCCATAAAACCATAGTAAAGGCCTTGATCAGAGACATACGAGTGCCGCTCTGAGTGCTCTATGCTTTTCTAATGTCAGTTTCAAGTTGATCTTACTGTCCAAGTACAAAATATGAGAGATTTTGATTTTATATCTCAGCTTTACAGATATACAACTCCCAGCATTTTTCCCAGGTGTTCATGTACTACCCTTATAGTTGTTGCCGATATGCTAGCTATCTGCATTATTTAAATATTTACTACTTTGACAACAGCAGCAGTAGAAGGAAAGCTGAATACCTGTGTGAAGAACAATTTGTCTCCTTAGATAACTACACTGCTGTCCCTATATGTATAATAGCAGATGCAACCTGTGACAACTAACTGGTTGTGCCAAGACAAAAAAAAAAAAGATAAGGTAACTGTGGATGGAAACTGAGAAATAAACAGAAAGAGAAGTCTATTAGACTAATTATAGTCTGTTCTGAAATACTGTCCCTTATTCTATTCTATAATTCTCATTCAAGTCATCTACTGTCAAATGTAGCAAAACCAGATTTTTTTTTTTTTATGTATTACATATTTATTCCAAAGAACTCGTAGCACTGTGTTCCAGAGCATTTGCACTCAATTGCTGTCAAATTGAGTATTTTAAAAAGTTTTGTTATATCCTTGAAAAAAAAGTCCTAAGGAAAAATTAGGCACCTGGAAATAATACACTATGATTCTAATAGGATAAGCTCAAATTCCATCAGGGCTTTCTGCAATAGTCTATCTGTGATGGGAAAAACCTGAGAGTGATAGTAGTTTGTTCATAAGAAATCATATTGAAGCTCTTCTTAAAGTAATGTGCTCCTCTGTGAAAGAAAAGAGTTCATCATATAGCCAAAAGTTTCATGAGAAGGACAACAATTCTCGTTTTATTTTTAGAAGAAGTTGGGATGTGTGACTGGGGGAAGTACTATATTTAATCATTATAAGGATGACAGTATTTTGAATACCTAATACCAGAATCTCTCTCGTATTAATTATACATTCCTATTCTACTGTTCTCTCATTTCTATTTGGAAACAGGGTCAAACTTGGAGTTGCATCCAAGTAGAACATCTACTTTACGTAATTTATTCCATCTGGATGAAGTTTTTACTTTTCTGACTTTAGGGATGGGGTTACTGACCTCCTTTTAGTATATTTTACACTGCTATAAACTAAAGGTACTATATTCACACAACAAAATACGGGCAAAAAAAAGACTTTCTAAAGATATAGTTAATTGTGCTCTTTCTCCTTTTTAAATATATTGACAACTTTCTCCACCAACAGGGATGAGACATGGGAATAAATAGACTTTTGGTCACTTGTTCTTAGGTTTTCTCTTTGCAGGGTTCAGACTAGCCTCCCAATGTTTTTCCAACAGAAGCTTCAAGTACTACCACAAAAAAAAAAACAAACAAACAAACAAAAGCCCCCAAAACATTCTAATCCTTCCTGGATGAATTTCTGCAATTCAATGTTATTTCATCTCAAAGGAGCGGACCTAATCATGTACTTACCTTTGGGGAAAGAGGCCAGATTTAACAATTTGGGGCTAGAAATAGGTATTTATCCTCCTAACAGCATAAGAATAGGTAGCAGAAGTACCAAGTTTCATTTGTTCTTGTTCTAATGTATTTTGTTTAGAGAATCACAAAGGATAACAGGAAGATATCATACTTCTAACAGTTTTTCCCACTGAAAAGGAACACGAGGTGGGGAATATAGATATCTGTCTAGCAAGAACTGGACATGCCATCTATGGTATCAACTCATCATTCATAGAAGCAGATTAATTACTTTGGTCACTACCAGATTTAAGATGATGATCTGGAGCACAAAACAGTGTTTCCTGTTTCTGTCTGCAAATTTGTCGAAGGTGAGACAAAATTAGCTCCCCCCCCCAATTAAATGGTGAGATAAATAATATTCTATACTAATGACCCTTAGAAAAGAAACCCATTAAGAGATTGATGAATGTTAAATTAACATTAAAGATGCTTCCACCTGTGTGAGTTTTTAAGACAGGATTAATTGTCTGGAAAGGATTCCTTAAACTGCAATTAATTAGTGCACAA